ATGAAAGATTTTTCTCATGAACGATTAAACGGGAAATGTTGTGTACTTCTCATTACATCACATCAGGAGATGTATGAGTCTGTCCCACTATTGATAATCTTAGTTAATGCAGTATCTGCCAAATATCTACTGGTGAAGGTGCCTTTCTTTCCCTCTTCGTTATCAATAAATAATCTGTGGGATCATACATCGAGGTCACGTGAAGAACTGGTTTTAGTATCATGTTGAGGCCTCCCAGAAACAGTTATTACATTGGTGGTGACAATGGTGATTTTTCCACTTCCTTCTACATTAATTATCAGGCATCCTTCTGTAGGTACTGGAGATAGTAGAAGGCATGTAGATGGTGTTTTCCCATTTTCCTCTAATATTTGGAGAATTGAAAAAGAGAAAGAAAGGGCAGAAAGTTTGAAGGGTATTGCTCTGCATCCTGTGGAGTAAGTTCATATGCATTTTCTTTAAATTTTCTGTGAAAAGGATAAAAAATCTTTTGTATGATATGAGCTGACTTCTGGAAAATAGAGAGGATTAAAAAAAAATCCCTAATGATAATGTTTCTGTGTGTGTGTATCTTTGATATCAAGATTATCTATCAAGATTATATTAAATATTCAACTTATGCATTTTCTTAAATTTAAATATTTAATGGCTTGCATTTAGACTATTCATTTGAAAAGTTCTTTAGCTCAGTGCATAACATTAAATAAAAAAGCAAAGTGATCATCTTTAACTTTGCTCTGGCCTGTTTTTCATTATTTCATATTTTTCTGTTTGTTAATGGTACCCCATTACTCCTACACTTAAAACTTGGTAGTCGTTTCTCACTTTTATCAATTCTTTGTCTTTCTTTTTTTTTTTCCTAAGGAAGTTTTGCCCTGAGCTAACGTCTGTTGCCAGTCTTCCTCTTTTTTGCTTGAGGAAAATTGGCCCTGAGCTAACATCTGTGCCTGTCCTCCTCTATTTTATATGTGGGTCTCCACCACACATAGCTGACAAGTGGTCTAGGTCCACGCCCTGGATCTGAACCCGGGAACCTGGGCCGCTGAAGTGGAGTGTGCCAAATTTAACCACTACACCATGGCTCTCTTTGTCGTTCTTTTAAAAGTAAAGTATGCCTCAGTATTGTATGATGGTTTTTAATTTATAGGGAGTGTGTGTGTATATATAGAGAGACAGTTGTTTGATCCTCACAGTGATCCTCAGAGTGTATTAAAGCAGCAAGTGATGGTGGGATTGTCATTTTAAAGGCAATGAAGCTCAGAAGACCGAAGTCTTGTCAGTATGTCCTCAGGACCATGTCTTAGATTTATTCTTTCCTGTTTGCTTCCTTTACCACTACTCAAGTTCAAGATGCTTCCACCATGTGTCTAATTTATTGCCCTATTTGCAGTATTTTTACCATTCCATTCTATTTGTCAACACTAGGTTAATGTTGTTACAATGACATATATATGTGTGTATATAATATTCTTTTTGTCTCTGTGTTTCAAATTAATAATCCTTAAAGTACGTTAAAGTCTGGCCCAGGGTTAGTTTTTCTCTTGCATATTTCTTCTACAAATCCCTGTTCCTACTTTTTTTCTCCCTTCTTCCCTTAATCCAGATTATAATTATCTTTCCAGTTTTAGGTAGAGCAAGTCCTTGGTTACTTTTCAGTAGGTCTAGACTACATCAATTTGTTTGAATTTCTGTTATTGAGATTGTATTCTACAATATAGTACTTCGTTCTATATAGGAATATTTTACTTATCCAGAAGTTGCGTATTCAGCAGCTTCAAGAATTTATTATTTCTCAGTTTCGTACAAATACAGAAAAGTACAATACCCCTTCCCTCATGTAACTAGAACAGGTGTTCTAGTTCTAGAAATCTAGTTCCAGGTGTTCTAGAAATCAGTGGATTTTCCCTCCTAGGACAGTGCTGTTTACTCTTGGTCATATGTTTAGTCATCTGACATTATGGAATTATAGTTCTAAATATATTTATTGAACACATCTCCAGCCTTCAGCTGATTAGGGGTAGCAAGTCAGGAAAGAAAAGGAGACAGCATCTCTTTAATTCTCTTGATTTTGTCAAAATGTGATAGTTCATAAATTTTACAAATATATCTATCTGTGGCCATTTGCTTTTGGGCTAAGGACCTTCTGTTATAGTACAGTAATCATTTTTCTAATTAGTGACTATTTGTCATTAAAAACAGAATATTTTTAGTTTTGATATTGTTGCGTACTCACAAATTTCTAGTCATCTTGGTCAGGTCATTTCAACATAAAGAATTGTTGGCTACCTGCTTAGTGATAGGTATGGTGCTTGGTGTTGTAGGTCATACAAAGATAATCTCTCTTCGTGAAACTTAGTAGGAAAATAAAAGAAATACTTAGATAATTTATAGTAAGGCAGAATCCTGGTTATTGAATCTCATTGTACCTATTGAAAGAAGTCCCTAAGTTCTAATTGAGGTAGATTCTAAAAGTTTTTTGAAGTTTGGAAGTGTTCTGTGTTAGTAAAAACATAGTTTCTGATGATCCATTTCTAGTCCATCTTCTAAAAAAGTATTTAATTGATAAGATAGCCAGGTTCTTTAGGAGCCTTCAGGCTCTCTGATGGTGAAGTCTTGAGGTCCTCGGCAGGGGTTGAAGGAAGGCAGTGAGTATGGAGGGACAGGGAGGGTTGGCCTCTGGCAGCTGACGATCGGGGTAGTGTGGAATGAACACATTCATCACAGCTTTACTGTTTGGATGGGGGGAGATCCCTACCTGTAGGTCAGTCATAAAATACGTTACATTAATTCATGAAATGTCTTATGTTTCTCATATTTTAAAGTGATTCGGTTTTGTGTTACCATGAGGTGATAATACTGTATCCTTGATTTGGTAGGATCAGCAGCCCATATTTCTTATTGAATGTCATCTAAACAACTCTGACCATCTTAAGTAAATTTCTTTCTTTTTTGTTGTAATTTTGCTGTATATAAGAAATAGACATTTTTTTCCCCACCAGAATAATGTAAATCGTGGGAGTTGCAGGAGCATAGGTGCCATCTGGTGGTGAAAACTCTCCATACCTGAAAAGGAAAAAATTGGAAAAAAATTTTTATCAAGAGGATTTTAGCTATCAACTTCGTATTTATGAGTTCTTTACATATAATTTGGATCATAAGATTTTTGTCTCCTTCACAATTCCTTCATTCTAGTTTTTCTTTTAAGTATATCGTTTATTACCTATTATTACCTAAACATTTTCCACTTGTTAGAATCTATCATTGTTCTCTCTGCTCCATTTCTTCAATGGTCATGAAGCATTTCCCCTTTCCAACATTTTCTCCTAACAATAATATAGTTTTATAAACAACGATGTGAGTTTTGAACCTGGGTTAATTTTTTTCCACTGATACCCACTTTTACATATTTACTGAAATAATGCTTGCTTTTTTGCTTTATTCTGTCTTCATTTTTCATGCTTTAAATATATTTTTAATTTTTAATTGTGGTAAAATGTACATAACATAAAATTTAGCATTTTCACCAATTTTACGTATACTTCAGTAGTATTAAGAACATTCCCATTGTGCAGTCTATCTCCAGAACTCTGCATCTTGCAAAACCGATACTCTGTACCCATTAAACAGCTCCCTATTCCTACCTCCCCACACTGCGTGAAAACTGCCATTCTATTTCCTGTCTCTATGAATTTGACTACTCTAGATGACCTCATATATGTGGAATCACAGAAATTTATCTTTTTGTGAATGGCTTTTTTCACTTAGCATAATGTCCTCAAGGTTCATCCATGTTAGAGCATGTTTCAGCATTTCCTTCCTTTCTAAGGCTGAATAATCCTGCTTTGTATGTGTATCCTGCATTTTGTTTATCCATTCATTTGTCAACAAACATTTGGGTTGCTTCCACCTTTTGGCAATTGTGAATAATGCTGCTATGAACATGAGTGTACAGATATCTCTTTAAGATCCTACTTTCAATCATTATGAATATATATCCAGAACTGGAAAGTGGGATTGCTGGATTATATGGTAATTCTATTAAAAAATTTTTAGGAACCGCTATACTGTTTTCCATAGCTGCTGCATCAATTTACATTCTTACTAGCAATGTGTGAGAGTTCCAGTTTCTCCACATCCATGCATATGTGTGTAATACATTACTTAGTGTTAGTTTTGAACTTTATACCAAGGTCATTATCTTATAGATAATCTTCTGTGACTGGCTTGTTTCACTCAGTGCTACTAAGATTATCCATATTGTTGCATGTAACTATAGTCCTTTTTTCCTTAATGTATCATACTCCGTTGTGGCTGTTGCCTTTTCCTTTATTTCTAGATAGTATGTAATTCTATCCTAGATAGTATGTAATTCTATCTAACCCTTTTTGTTTCCTCGTGGAGTCAATGAATGGTATTTAGTAGTTTATTTCTTTTTTTCCCTAAAGATTGGCACCTGAGCTAACAACTGTTGCCAATCTTCTTTTTTTTTTTAAAGATTGGCACCTGAGCTAACAACTGTTGCCAATCTTTTTTTTCTTTCTGATTTTTCTCCCCAAATCTCCCCAATACATAGTTGTATATTTTAGTGGTGGGTCCTTCTGGTTCTGGCACATGGGATGCTGCCTCAACATGGCCTGATGAGTGGTGCCATGTCCGCGTCCAGGATCCGAACCAGCGAAACCCCGGGCCGACACAGCAGAGCGTGCGAACTTAACCACTTGGCCACGGGGCCGGCCCCTAGTAGTTTATTTCTAATTTCCAAGTATTTATGACTTTTTTTGTTAATTACTCTTTTATATACCACATAATATTTGTCATTTTAACCATTCGTAAGTATACAATTCCGTGCATTAAATACATTCACAGTGCTGTGTAATCGTCACTAGAATCTATACCCAAAACTTTTTCATATTTCCCAACAAAAATTGTACCCAGTAAACAATAACTTCCCTTTCCCCTCAAGACCTTGATAACTTCCCATAGACAGAAGCTTTGCCACCATTGACTCCTCAGCCAAGCACGTAAAGGGGTCTTCATCAAAGCGTAACAGTGATTCCGGAGACTGTCATCACCTGACTGCATTCTTTATTCAAGATTGTTTTAAGTCCCTTTACTGAGGAGAGAGCTAACTTCTCACATTCTGGTTCTTTTTAATCTTTGCTAGTATCATATGTGAAAAATAATTATCTAGTTTTAAGTGGCATTTGTCTCCTTTGTCTTTTTTTTTTTTTGAGGAAGATTAGCCCTGAGCTAACTGCTGCGAATCCTTCTCTTTTTGCTGAGGAAGACTGGCCCTGAGCTAACATCCGTGCCCATCTTCCTCTGCTATATGTGGGACGCCTACCACAGCATGGCTTGCCAAGTGGTGCCGTGTCTGCACCCGGGATTTGAACCAGCGAACCCTGGGCCACCAAAGTGGAACGTGTGCACTTAACTGCTGCTCCACCGGGCTAGCTCCTCCTTTGTCTTTTTTTTTAAATCAGGCTATTCATATTTTAACTATTGTTTTTATAACCTTCTATGTTAAGGTGATATTTTGATCCTTATGCATTTTATTTATTTATTTAATTTTTTGGCTCAAACAAATTTATTTTCTCACAGTTCTGGAGAAATCCAAGATCAAGGCTTTCTCAGGGTTGGCTTCTCCTTAGGCTTGTCTCCTTGGCTTGTAGATGGCTGTCTTCCTCCTGTGTCTTCACATGGTCTTCCCTGTGCTCATTCTTATGTGTTTTAGGTTTTAGTGTTTGTATTAGTTTCTTAGGGCTGCTGGGACAAATTACCAAAATTTTGCTAGCTTAAAACAACAGAAATTCGTTCTCACAGTTCTAGAGGCCAAAAGTCTGAGATCAAGGTGTGGGAAGGGCTAAGCTCCCTCCAAAGGCTCCTTCCCAGCCTCTTCCCGCTTCTCGTGGCTCCTGGTGTTCCTTCGCTATGGCAGCATCACTCAGTATCTGCCTTCCTCTTCACATGGCCTTTCCCTCTCTGTCTCTGTGCCCCTCTGAGCCCTTCCTCTCTCTTCTCTTATACGGACACTACTCACTGGGTTTAAGGCCCATCTTAAATCCAAGATGATCTCATCTCAAAATCCTTCACTTAATTACATCCACAAAGACCCTGTTTCTAAAGAAGGTCACACTTTATAGGTACCTGGGGTTAAGACTCGGACATATCTCTCTTTGGGAGACACAATTTAACCCACCAGAATATTACACTTAGAAGATGTTATCTGCTGAAGAATATAAAACTATCCATCCGTGTTTTCTTCTAGTACTTGTACATCTAAATCTTTAAGACATCTGGAATTTATTTTGATATAAGGTAGAGATGTAAGTTTAATTTTTCTATAAGACTGTTGGAAAATCAACCAGTTAATAAATGGTGACACTAGGATTTAAACCTATGACTTTATTTCAAAGTCAGCATCTTTTCTTTTATATAGAACTACCTCCTTTTAGTGTTTTAACTTTAAAGAACTTTGCCCATGAGGCTCTTTTTGTCATCCTACATCTTACAACAGAAAAGACTGCTGTTATAGGCTTTATTGGCACTTGAGGTAATGGTGATAGCTGAATGTCTGCAAAGGGTAATGTAGGCACTTGAGCCTTCCTTTTCAGCAGTTGTTATTCTAGGAAAGAAAGAAGTGCCATTTGGGAAAGTATGTTGGAGGGCATGGTTTTAAGGCTTAATTTGCCATGTCAGATGCAATTGTTATTGGACTTCTCAGGGCCATTTGTAGTACTTGTTGTTTCTTTCAAAAGATATTAATATCTGTATTTTCAAGGGCTGTTATTTATATTTTATAAGGCTGGTCACAGTAATGGGCTTACCATCCTTGTAGAGACTTCTAGTGGTAATTATAAAAGTTACACTGACATTTCTAACATCCTTTAAGGTGATGAACATGTTGGACCCACTTTTGGTATCTGAATCTCTTGGTATATATTTGTGATGATTACATTATTGAATTTTGATTTTGGTAAATTGCTTAACATTGGTTCATATATATTCTAGAAGACTGTAGTAAATACTGTATAATCTGTTCCTTTATATAATAAACATTTTATGGCAGCTACATAATTTTTTCCCATAAAATTTAGGAATGAGTTATGAAAAACAAAACTTACTGCTGCTCTGTTGTTTATTTTTAAAGGAAAGTGCAAGAGAAGAAATTCTGGTGAAGACTGTCAGGGCTACTAATGAAAAAGTTAACCCTGTTTATTTTCATGACATAAATGCCAGTAAAGGTGATTTTGACTCAACAGACCGTTTAAAGCTGGAGGCAGGGTCTCCTCATCAAAATAAGCGTTTGGCATCAGATTCAGAAACAGTTTTGCCTGTGGATAGCTGTTTAGACACTGAGACTCCTAAAGTGTCCATTCAAAAAACTGTGGACATAGCAGCTTTGAAGCCTGTTAGTGACAATGGAATTAATTCCACTGATATTCTCCGCTCACCAACTAGTGAAAGGCGAACATGTGAATGTAACAAGTCTATTGAGAAGAGTAAAGATCGTAAGTGGGCTTTTTTTTTTTAATAAAAGTAAAGAAGTATATAAAATGTTTATATGTTGGGAATAGAATATATTTCCAAGTGGAACTTGCCTAAGTTTTCATATTAAAATATTTAAGTGTTTTATGAATGAAAAAAATGGTATCTTTATTTATAGATCTAGTGGACGTGTACCTTTCTAAGTCTTAGTCTTCTTTTCCTTTCTCCCTCATTCTCCATTATAGACTTTTACTGTGATTAAGGCTGGCTTGTCCACCATCACAGAGGTACTTTTCTTTTGGGGAAATGGATTTCCTTTTTCTAACTGGGTTTGGGCAGATTTCAGTACTATTGATAACTAAAATAAGTCAAGTAAATAAAATTATTTAAGAATATTATGTCATTTTATTTGTTGTATGTGTTATTAGATATTTTGGAATTTTATTTTTTAGAAATGGATCTACCACAGAGTGTGGTCTATCAAAATGAAGAGGGCAGATGGGTCACTGACCTTGCCTATTATACATCTTTTAATAAAGAACAAGATATAAACATGTCTCTAACTGATGAGATGGGTGAAGACTTCAGATCTGGTTGTAAGTATATTGATAACCACTTTATTGTACTATTTTCACTGTTTCTGATGATCTTCTGAGATTACTCTGTGTATGTTGGTTGGCCACATCAAATCCCTTCTGGAATATATAATACTTAGGCTCTTCACTTGTTTTTTATAGGAACAAAAGCTTGAGTTAGTTAGTGCTAATCATTGCAGAATGAGCTGAGCCTTTTCCTTAAGTAAGGACACCGAGTCAGACCAGCACTCTTTTACTTCAGTTTAGAACCTTCATATTGTAGAGTTGGAAGACCCCTTAAGGGTTTTTACTTTGTCACTTTTAAAATTCTATCTTGAACAAAAGAAGTATTCTGATAAATGAGCAGTTACAAAAGCCAGTCAATTTTGGAGTAAAAGCTAAGAAATGTAGAAATGATGGGAGAAAAGTGATGAAAAAGATGAATGAAATCTCCAAGGATATGAGTGTTAGGAACATCAGTTAGGTTTGTTGATTTGCAGAATGTACGATGGTGAAAGGATAAACCGGGTTAGGTTGCAGAAGGCATGACATTTTGAGTTGCTGTGCTCTGAAGCCTCCGGTACCTAAGTGCCTCTAAACCCGGGATGAGGAAAAGCGTCCAGTGGCCTGTCAAGCCATCTTATTTTTAATAGGCTCAGAAGGTGTCAGAGGAAGCACTTATTCTACTTGCTGCTTGTACTAAGGCCTCCTAAATGTCTAATGATGTGGAAGTACAGAGATAAATAAGGCATTTTTCCAGCCCTTAAGAAACTGTCCATCAGACAAGAATACAAAACAACCATCAGGATTATAAGACACACTAACCAAATGCTTTTGGAATTTAGGGGAAAGAGAATTTTTGCATGAGTGGATAGCAGAGGATTTCACGTAAGAGGTGGATTTTGAGGTAGAGTTTTAACAGGTAAATATTTGGGGGTGTGAGAAATTCCAAAGGACTGGAAAACCAACGAACAAGAATGAGAAAGCATGGGCATGTTTTGAGAATGGTAAATAGTCCAATGTGGCTGGTATTTATAGTAAGATATGGGAAGGGGAGAGTAATGCGAGATGAAGAAATGAAGCTGGAGAGGAACAATCGGGCCAGGGAGTGGGTAGAGCCTTGAGTACCATGCCAAAGAGGTTGAGGTTTGTTTGGTCAGCAATAGAAGACTTGCTTGTTCAACTTGCTTTGTGAGTCGTCTTCTGGCAGTGATCGTCAGTTGAATGGGAGGTTCCTTAGGATGTTGTAGGTGTCACAGTGAGAATGAAAAGAAAGTAGCTAATGAAAGACATGGAGATAAAATGGTTAGGATTTGATGACTGGATTTCAGGGGATATTAGAGAGGCAAGAAAACATTGAGGTTTGTAGTCTGAATTATTTGGGAAAATGGCAGTACCATTGACCAAGATGGAGAAAATCAGAAGAAATTGTAAAATTTTGGATGACTGTGATTTGAGGTGGGGATATTCAGTAGTAGAAAATATGAGTCAGAAATTGGAGGTTAAGTTACAGTTAGAACTTGATCAATGATAGCTTGATTTAGAAAGAACAAGAGGGTACAGACTGGACAGTGGATATTGACTTTTTCATTTAAAAAGTCAGTGGTCCTGGAATTCTCATGTGTTGCTGGTGGGAGTGTAAATTGATACAACCATTTTGGAAACGAGTTTGGCAGTATCTTGTGAAGGTGAACTTTAAGAACTTCATACTTTATGACCCAATAATTCTATACCTGAGTATATACCTAGTGTATAGAGTGTATATACTTACCCAAAGACATACACTAAAATGTTTATAGCAGCACTATGTGTATTAGCCCCAAACTAGAAACTCCCAAATTCCCATTAACAATGGAATGGATTGTGTTTGGACAATACATTGGAATGCTATGTAGCAGTAGGAATGAAGGATGTGTAGCTACTTGCAACAACATGGGTGAATTTCACAGATCTGTTAATGAAATAAGGCTGACTAAGAACACGTGCTATATAACTCTGTTTATATAGC